TATATATATATATAGTTATATAATTATGTAAAATAGTCTATGTTTAATCCCATTTTGTTTTATTTAATTTAAGTTTCGAATCACTCAACCAGTACATATGAAATATCTATCAAGATAACAATACATATTTATAAAATCTATGACTAGAAATCCTGCAAAATTATTGAGTCCGTAATTAACTTGGTGATCTCAGTCTCGTTAAGAATGACTAGTTCATGGCATGAAAGCAGCTACAATTACAAATTCTGGCAATTCAGAACAATGGGAAAGTTATTGATAATGATCAATCGTCATTAAGAACTTGGCGTTATAGTGCTGCGAATCACTTTATGACTCGAAATCGACGACAAAACAAAATATCTAAACCATAATGACCTAAAGAAAAACTTAAAAAAATAAGCAAAACAAAACAAAATGGAAAAGTACAAAAAGAAAGAAACCAAAAATCAAACGTTACGTTGCTGGCCAAGAGCAGCCCTTCGCAACCAGAAAGTACCTGCCCCAACTTCATTTTGCTTGTTTTTTACTTTCTGTGTGTTTGTTTTTCTAGTACAATTATTTATCAACGGTTTGTTTTTTTCCGAGAACTTGAATTCCCTGCAACGTAAAAGTTTAAGATAAATCTCGTCGAAACTTGTAATGGCCGCCATGTTTTACGGTCGCCGAGCGGCTGGCAACGCAGTTAGTCTTAGAGAACGGGTCACGGGTTCGATTCCTTAGGACGCCACATACGTGTTCATATATGTGCACATATTTGTTTGAAGTTTTTTTCTGTTTTCTTTCCTTTTTTTCTTCAAATTAACAGGTACGTTTAGAGCGAGTTTTGTTTTTAGAGCATTAAATGTAGACGCGTAATGTCTAATTGTTGTTCTTTTATGATGGCAACTGTGAGCTATAACCAAGGCGGCGACTATGAAAGCCGCTTCCAACGACCGGAAATTGTTTATTTTTTTCGGAGCACATACAGTTTGAAAATCAAGTTTGTGTGCTGTACAGTCAGTGTTTGTCGATGGTTAGACTCAAGTTCAAAATTGAATCATAAGTTTAAAATAACTAAAAGGCAAAAAAAGGCGAATTTGAGTGCAAACCACGGCGCCGACGAATTCAAAATCTCCAGAAAATAGTTTTCTTCTTGGCACCAGGTGCAAAAAGATCAATTAAGCTAGAAATGTCCAAATTTCTATAATTGTCATGGAAAGTTCACTGATATCAGTTAATGGTATTTCAAAAGTCCCACAGCGATGATCAGAACTTCTATCGATAATTAAAAGAAATATATTGAAAAAGTAATTCCAATTCAGTAGGTAGGTAATCTTATTATTTTGAACGATGCTCAATCGAAAGACGTATTCCGCATTATTGATCCAGTTAGATTAGCATTTAGAACGTTTTATTGTCTGCAGGTAATATGAAATATATGAATCGTTTGCAGGATTTAAACTTAAAGAATACCGCTAAAAATTTTATACTTTTTCCGTCTTACCGTTTCTTTCTCCCTCGGATCCCTCTTTTGTTGTTTTACTTAATTCTTTCAGCTTCAAGCATTATTTTTGTAAACTTTGGCATTCTTGAAATTGTGCACAAAAGGTGCTTTTGAAAGGATGCTCAAAATGAAAATTGCTGTCATCCTGAGTCGAATAACACTCTCATACATAATAATATGAAGTGGACTTAGAACTTGTTAAGATGACTTTCAAATTTTCCGTAATTATTAACCAATTTATTCATTTTTTATTTCTAGACTCTACAAATAAAATGATCATTGAAGATTTCGGTTAAACTAACTCTAACTTCTCGAGCTTAATATATTTATTTATTTATATTTTTTAATATTTATATTTATTTATTTATTTTAATCTAAAATTATAAGACTTTTTTGAGCATAATATAAAAGCTTTTGGTACACGAGTTAATAGATGGGATAACTGTCAACGTAAAAAAGTGAAATCTTCATCTGATTCGCGGTTCATTATTAATCTTACTAGGCAAAGTTGCAATTAAATTGTACAGCACTGATGATTAAGATAAAAAGCTGACAGAGGAAACGGATGCTCCTCATATCAGTTCTCGTTTCTATAGATATATCTGCTATAGGCATCTACGATCAATATTTATTCAGCGTCGACTTTTGCATAAAACGAGACTAACCTCACGCCTGTAATATGTTCTGTATCACATGCATAATAAATACAGTTTTTATTTTATACCCGCATATATATATATATATTTTTTCCGGTCCGATATCCTAAAAAATCGGCCTAACGGCCTCGGTCCGTATATTAAAGACCTCGGGCACAGTTTTTCCCAATCCGGTCCTCCTGGCCGGTAAATAACAAATATGTATATATAATGAGACAGATAGACAGAGACAGAGAGAGAATAAGAAACTAGCCAAAAATGCTACTGCCAAAAACCAAGAAAGTAAAGAGAAGAGAACGGAAGTGAAGGAAAGGGTAGGGAAGGGAAGGGGAGAGAAAGAGAAGGAGAGGAAGACGTGCAAGCAAGCAGACATTGAAAATGTTCGCATATCCCACCAATATGTGCTGCAAATCATCAATGATGCAGCGATTCGATCGTATTTCTTCTTGACACCAATAGTTTCCGTTTCAAAAGAGGGTCTCTAACACTAGGTGTTCATAAATAATGTAATGTCGTACATAAGCCTACCGAGTTACATGTTTAAGGCAATGTTTTGTATTTTCCAAGCAATTTCACTATGTGTCGTTTTGCCAAGAAAAATGACGATTGTCAGGGAACTACTATAACAGTTTCTGGTTGTCGCGTTGAAATTGTTATTAGAAGGGGGGAAAAAACAGGATATCTTCAATTGTACAAGCTTTTGACACTTCGGAATTAAATTCGTCTTAAAATGATCTTGGAAAAGCGAGTTGAATTAAAATTGTTTGTGTGAACAGTCGGATGAGATAGTTGAAGATGTTGTATTTTAATTTATTAATGTTCTTACCTTTACACTGAAGTGGACTTGATCCAGCTGAAGTTATCGCAGAAAAAAACAATATCTATCGAGTCAAGATAAGATAAGAAAATTCACTGTTATGTTTTAGCAAAAAACCTCGAGGAAATTCGTATTGTTATAGTAAAAGAAACAGCAAATTATACGTACGACAACAGTTTTCTTACCAAAATGTAGCCTTTTTGATCCATTATACCGGCAAAAAGAAACAAAAAGGATTGATTCATTATACGTGTCGATGTTTTTTCTTCTTGATATCAAGCCTCTCTTGCCTTAACATAGGTTCATTTTCAAGTTCTGCTGAATCTTTAAGCGATCAGAATAACCTTAATACACCTGTACAGGATATCTTGATTAGCTGACGATGCCAATTGGCTTTGCGGTTTATCTAGCTTGCTTCCAAGTAAACAGATACCTGACAACCGAAAACTTTCGCCAGAACTAAATTACTGCCAACGAGATGTAAAAAAGTTAATGGCAACTCCTATGAAGTTCAACAGCTTTTCCTTCGAGTCTCGAGAGCGCCCATTATACCTCGGCTATCTGATGGACGTGAAGTATAAATCGTTCGACTTGATAGAGACTTTAAATTACACTCCTAAATCCTTTTATGCATTCACAGTTACATTTGCTACAAGCAAAGTAAAAAAACTAAGTTGTTATTTCTTTCGTTCTCATCACCTGGTTCGTTCAATCTTAAGTGATTTTCATTGGGTAAAAGTCAATTATCGGTCAAATGCCCTAGACATACAGAGGTTGTAAATTCGATAAGTGCCGACTGTTTTTTTACATTTACATAAAATCGGCCATCGCGAGTGCAGTTGGCGTTATTCACGAAAATTATTAAAAATCTAGAATAATGTTTCGTGATTTACCGTTATTGATTCAGCACCACAAAAGATTATAAAAAAGACAAAAAAGGATAGAATATATACTTGAACTGAGAGGGAGTTACTGATAACTTTCATTTTCCAGAAGTTTCTGGTCGACTTTCAATGAGAAGCAATTAAAAATATTGTCAGTATATGACTTAAGATAAAATGTGATCAACACAACTAGATGATGACCAAATCACTGCGCATTCACTTTTGATGGATTAGCGAATTGCTGAAGATATTTCTCTCATTCACAAACGTAGTTTCTTTGTCGATGTTATATTACCAATTGCAAATCATAACCTGGGGGAATAAAGGTAGTTTAATAAGATCCACACAGGCCATTCATCTGTAAACTCTTCCACGGACAAGAAATGATATTTATAATACTCATCCCCATGGTAACGCCTTCCTATTGTAAATCCATCAAGCGGCAATTTTAGCTCAGCAGCAGCTGAAAGGAAAAAAATGATCAGTGAATTCTCAGATTTTCGTGAAAGCTTATTTAGGTTTGATAGGAAGACACCAAATTAGCCAAGGAACCAAGACAGATGAGAAGACAAGTTGTAGGCCAAAAACTATTATGATCAAGTTATATAATGTTTGAAAAAATTAAAGCTAAAATTACGTTTCTTTGCCAGCTCTTTTTGTGCCGTCTTAATGTTGTTCGTGTTCTCACGTATCACTTTCTTCATTCAGTGTATGTCTTTCTAGTTTCAGCCTTTGTTCTCGTTGCTGCACTTCTCAGACTTTTTTTCTCTTGTTCTTGTCCTTGTTCGTGTTAACTCTTGTTCTAAATCCTTCAGTGTTTGTTGTTGTTATTGTTCTTTTCTGAGTTGTTCTAGTTGCTTTTTCTTTATTTTATTATTGGTTGGTGTCTGTGCTGTTCTGTTGTTGTTATTTTGATTCTTTTTGGGTTTTTGTTTGTCTTGCTGTTCTTCAGTATTGCTTTCCTTTTCAGTATTGCTGTTTTAAAAAAGTTCATCTCGTTCTTCCTGGTATTTTGCTTCTTCCTCATGACAAATTAGCAATATATGTAAACAAAACACAACACATACTGTCAAAAACCTCTTCAAAAGTAAAAGTGACTTCCAGGATCGAGGAAGCTATATGATCAGGGGAGTCCAGAGAATTCTATAAAAACAATGCTGATAACTAGAGCGCCCAGCAGGCATCAATACCACATGTTTGACTCTGGCACAGCTATAGATCTAAAAAGATTACTAAATGGATGTTGGCTTTCAATATATGAGTTTAAGTAATTAATACGAAATGTATGACTGAAATTAAAATCTTAATGCTAAAACGATGACTAAACTGCAGCAAACTTACTCTCGGCCGATTGTTTTCAGTTGATTACTTTATCTATTCTCAACTTTGACCATAGGGCAGCATTTTTGAATTTATACGAGCCGTAAATTACAAATTGAAACGAGCAATTACTGAAATACGTTGCTTGAACTCTTACACTTCTTAGAATAGAGTAGGAGTGAGCTAGTAGCAGCTGCGCAGCATGGGATATTAGTGGAGTGAAGTGATATGGAACTGACAGCCACCAGAGTAATCTTTTGCTTTTGGGTTGATTTTTGTTATATGAGCTTTCGCATGATCTGATATGTTCGGTTGACTTAACTGGTTCACTTTGCAAGAATTAAAGAGTGGAAAGGGAATAGAAAAATAAGCAAAAAGATATATAAGAATAATAAAAGGGAATGAAATGAGATGAGATTACAAATAAATAAGAAAAAATAGGAAACTAAGTTAACGAGATAATTAAAAGGAAAAAAGCGAAGAAATGAAACATAAGAATAAAAACAGAATATTGATATATTTTACTAATTAGTTGGACAAATAAAAGAAAGATTAAGTCAGAAATAAAATAAAGCGAGAAGACATCCCGCTTTTAATCGCCAACAAGACGCCAAATAACTAAAGCCCTGCGGGTTAATTTGACATATCGCTTTTGTATCCATGGACAGCATGTTCCCAAATTAATACATCTCGACTTTCAAGTATAAAAATTAAACCTAATTGAATAACGTTCTTCTTCAATTTTTGAGCCAACTGAAATTTCAATCGAAATTTCGAATTTGGAATAGATAAGTCTGACAAAACAAATGGATGTTACTATAGAATATTTTATTTAAGACTTGTTTACATAAGAAATGAATGAGACTCTATGGTCTATTTACTTAAGCCAGTTTGTTTTTCTACGATGGCGGGCCATTAGGAAAGTGTTTATTCTATTCTGATCGTTTCGTATTTTCGTTCCCTCCTTTCAACTTTTCTATACTATGCTATTTACAATCATCTTTCAGCTGCTTCTTCCAAATTTTTAGCTATTTTCTCTGCAAAGTTAAAGAAAACAAAATATTAAATAAAGAATTAATCTTCGTAAAATAACAATGAACTTGCCAAAAAAAAAAGACATTTTAGTATCACAGATGCATAGTTAAACTATCTATGCACATGCAGGCACTAATTTGGGCACTCTGGTATTTTGATTATTAAAAGCTATACATTATTATTGTTATTAATACTGTTTAATGATAAAAGCATAATATCACAGTCGACTAATGTTTTGTTTGTCTTTCAATTTCAAGGTATCTTTTTCCAACAAAAAGATGAATAAATAGATAAAATGCACTGGATTGTAGTGCTCACATCTTACAAAAAAAACCTTATTCAAGATTAATCTAAACTACTTTGTTAGATTAGGCTTTGAGTTCTATTGGAGGTATATCATAGATAGTGTCAGTGTCCAATACACTTATTTCAATAAAGTTAGTCACAAAAAACCTATAAAGCTGGATCGCTGAGCATCATGGGAAACTTTTCATATCAAAAAAGCATATATAGAAATGCTTTTTTAATATAAACTGCAGCTCGATGATGCTCAGAAGAGGTGAGACTGTGACTGGTAAAAGATTCGCAAGTCCATGAACAGTTATCAAGCGGTTGAACTCGTAAAATGAATCTACCCATAATCCTTGTCGGCCTCAGCTTTATAGCTTTTCAGGTGACTAACTTTATTGCAATAAGTGTATACGGGCACCTGTTCGTTCAAAAAACGTCGCATGTCGAAGATCTGAAATGGGTGATCTGCAGTCTAAACAATTTTTTTTTGTGATTTTCTAGCTAAAAAACAAAAATTCACACTCCTAACTCAAAAATCATGCTTCATATTCCCATCCCAAGGGAAATTGCCTTATTCTTACTCATTTTCACGTGTATTTCATTTCGCGAAAATTTGGGAGCCGAACTTCGCGAGTATTAGTAATTTTCGCGATTGCAAGAAAAATTTGAGTAAAAGCGACTTTTTTAATAGCGAAAATTAGTAAGAATAAATCTTTCGGCGGTGAATATCATACATTGCGCAGCGTGTTTCTCGGTCTCTCAGAATTTAAATCATCTGCGACCGACAACGTTTTTTTTAAAGGTGTAAAATACTATGCAAGATATTTACTATCTTGTATGTAGAGTGAACATATTTTCATTTGATTTGATGAATGCTCTCCTAACATTATTCTTTCCTTTCTTCTTTTTTTTGTTTTGTTTTTTGTTTTATTTTTGTTTTTGTTTTTGTTTTTGTTTTTATTTATCCTAATTTAAGCCCCATCGTATTTCCGCCATTGATTGCAAGTCCCCCCTTCACCACTACTCGACCCCGATCAGTTTGTCATAAGACTTACCTTCTGGCGAAGCAAATCAATGATGTATTTGTTTTCAGTTACTTTGCAATACGGTTCACCATCAGGTGATTTCCCATCAGTTTCAGCACCCTGAGAAAAAAGATAAAGCAATTAAGATAAAAAGAAAGAGAGGAAAAGAACAAGGAAACAAGACTGAAACAACTGAAACGAAAAAATTAAAGGATGGTAAATGTAAAAGACAAGGTAAGTAAAATCTTGCAATGATATGCTTTCATGAACTGTGGCACGCGTAGTTTTGCCATGGAAACCGGCGTACATCGTTGCCATGGCAATAGCATGACAATTAGCAACCTTAATTGTATAATTTATAATTCTTTATTTGTAATGGCGCAGAGAAACTGAGATGAAACCGTAGCGGCAATGTTGTTATTGTATGCACGCGTTCATTAAAGATTGTCTGGCTGATTACTGAATGGCTGCACAGCAAATAGAGAGTCACCTTGTTGAAGTTTATCAGCCTAGAAAAGTAAAGATATTGCCATGGAAACGAGTACATAATAATGTCACAGTAACAGCACTTGATGCTACTATACTACAATCAGCAACCTTAATCGTGCAATTTATCACTCTATGTACATGTGGCAGACTGGTGGTAGCAAATATTTCAAAATCTAAGTTTGAAGCACGTAATAAATGGTTTTATTGATTACTTGCAAATGATTAATAATAATTTTTTTCATTGAAGTAAAAAATATTTCAATTAGAAGCAATTTATATACGTCATGTTTGGTGAGCTTATGTATCAATCATCCATTATTTAGCTTGAAAACGAAAGGCTACTGCTGTCTTGGCAACTGAAGATGGTTTTTTTTATGAAATAGCTTGCTGAAAAAAGTGCAACAATCTTTGAAGGGATTACGTTGTAGGGAAGCAGGGAATGGGGGAGGGAGGGAGGGGGGATTTTTGATGTGTGCGCACGTGTAACCCCTTTACATTGGCCCTCTGCAGTTAACCGTCACTTGTCTGTTCTGGGGAGCAAATTTTTTGTTTTTATTTCAAATTAGTCATTTTTTAGCTACTTGTAAAGAACTGAATGAAACGATGTGTAACTAGTGTGTTACGAAATGCAGTTTTATTACGATCTCTCGAAACAGGTTGTAGAAAGTTTGTTTGCTCACCAGTAAATTTCACCCATGGGAATCAAGATGTTCATTCATTTGCTCTCAGTG